CTATGGTTGAGAGGGACGAGGCAAAAGGAATGGCAAATAAGTCTGGCTGCACAACCGATTGGTAAACGTACTGCAAATTGAGAAATCATGAGACTAAACTGAATAAAAATAAGACATTACACTATGAAACAAAGACAAATGACATAAATAATGATAGTAAAAAGCTTTGGAGCACCTTAAATGAAATTATGGTCAAAAAGGCAAACTCAGCTCCATCATTCATTGAATCAAGTGGTCCTCTGTAGCTCAATTGGTAGAGCATGGCGCTTGTAACGGCCAGGGTAGTGCGTTCGATCCCCGGGACCACCCATATGTAAAAATGTATGCGCACATGACTGTAAGTCGCTTTGGATAAAAGCGTCTGCTAAATGGCATATTATTATTATTATTAATCAGATGGCGAATTCTTCACAAAACCCACTGATATTGCCAACTACTTTAATGATTTTTTCATTGGAAAGATTAGGAAACTTAAGCATGACATGCCAGCAACAAACGCTGACATCCAAGTATAACTGATCAAATTATGAAAGACAAGCGACAATGACAAGCCACCCCAGTCTGACAATTTGGATGGAAAATTACTGAGGATAATAGCGGACGATATTGCTACTCCTATTTGCCATATCTTCAATCTAAGCCTACTAGAAAGTGTGTTCCCTCAGGCCTGGAGGGAAGCAAAAGTCATTCCAAGAACAATAAAGTCCCATTTACTGGCTCAAATAGCCGACCAATCAGCCTGTTACAAACCCTGAGCAAACTTTGGGAAAGAATTGTGTTTGACCAGATACAATGCTATTTTACAGTAAACAAATTGACAACAGACTTTCAGCACGCTTACAGTTAAGGAAATTCAAGAAGCACAGCACTTACACAAATTACTGATGATTGGCTGAGAGAAATGTACAATAAAAAGATTGTGGGGGATGTTTTGTTAGAATTCAGAGTGGCTTTTGACATTATCAATCAGTCTGCTGCTGGAAAAACTGTTGTGTTATGGCTTTCCACCCCCTGCTATATTGTGGATAAAGAGTTACCTGTCTAACAGAGCACATAGGGTGTTCTTTAATGGAAGCCTTTCCAACATAATCCAGGTAGAATTAGGAATTCCCCAGGACAGCTGTTTAGGCCCCTTATAATATTTCGAAAACTAAAAGCATTGTGTTTGGGACAAATTATTCACTAAACCCTAAACCTCAACTAAATCTTGGAATGAATAATGTGGAAATTGAGCAAGTTGAGGTGAATATTCTGCTTGGAGTAACCCTGGATTGTAAACTGTCATTGTCAAAACATGTTGAAACAACAGTAGCTAAAATGGGGAGATGTATGTCCATAATAAAGCGCTGCTCTGCCTTCTTGTCAACAAGGCATGTCCTATAGGCCCTAGTTTTGTTGCACCTGGACTACTGTTCAGTCGTGTGGTCAGATGCCACAAAGAGGGACTTAAGAAAATTGCTATTGGCTCAAAACAGGGCGGCGTGGCTGGCCCTTAAATGTACTAACATTTATGAAATACATGTCAATCTCTCATGGCTCAAAGTGGAGGACAGATTGACTTCATCACTGCTTGTAAGAGGTGTTGACAAGCTGAATGCACCGAGCTGTCTGTTTAAACTTTTAGCACACAGCTCGGACACCCATGCACACCGCACAAGACATGCCACCAGAGGTCTCTTCACAATCCCCAAGTCCAGAACAGACTATGGGAGGCGCATAGTACTACATAGAGCCATTCCACATCAGGTAACTGATGCAAGCAGTAGAATCAGATTTAGAAAACAGATAAAAATACACCTTATGGAACAGCGGGGACTGTGAAGAGACACACACACAGGTACAGACACACGCATACACACACGGGCGCTATCACACGCACTCTACACACACGTACATTGTAATATTGTTGTATAGTGGTATCATTTATTTTGTGTTGTGGTGGTGTGACAGTGTAATTTGATGTACTGTTTTAGCTTTTGTTTTATGTGTAATATAAGTGTCTTAATGTGTTTGGCCCCCAGGAAGAGTAGCTGCTGCCTTGGCAGCAGCTAATGGGGATCCCTAATAAAATAAAATTACAAATATTGATATTTTAATGCAGTCATCTCGGTTTTCATTTGAAGCATATTTTATATGTCACATGTTTCTATCTATTGCAAAGACATTGGCAACTTTGTATTTGTAGTCAACTTTGTTCTGAAGTTATCGGCGGTCACAGAAATATGGATAAACCATGTGATTCTATGATTAGCGGAGAACTTCTGTGTAGAAAGTGACGTGGATGAGCAAAAAAACATAAACAATGCACTTAGCTGTTCTATGAATGGTCTGAGGCAAGCGTTAGATTACGAGCGATTTCAAGTGTAATGTTATTAACGATGGTTTTGGGAAACAGCTCAGAGATTTAATGATGCTCCTACGATGGTTCTAACGATGAACTTAGCCTTAAGATGCTTTTGGGAATACAGGCCCTGGTCTTGGTAAAGTAGCTGGTGACCTCACCCTCCTTCAGGGACCTCCTGTGGAGATTATTTAAAATGGCCTTGATTGTGTGGCCCACTCCATTATTGGCTAATTGGTTTATCAGCAGGAGCGTAAGGGAGCCAAAGGGCACTAGAGTGCAGCGGAGACACAACAGGAACTTCATGTTTTAGCGAGAGGAGGCTCCGAGTCTGTGCGCATGTGTGTATGTGTGCGTGCGTGCGTTTGTGTTCTACCCCTAATCATGATTTGCATATTAAAAACAAATATTCTGATCCCCAATACACTTTTTTGTGTAGTTCAGTGCTGGAACCATTCTCATTAATTCACAATATTTAATGTTCCTGATGCACAGCATGTTGCTTCTCTCAGCTGACCCTTATAATTGCAGGACCCCAGGAAGAGTACAGATAATGGGGATCCTTAATAAATACAAATACACATATTCTCAATTTCACTATGTTGATCACCATGGCTCTGTTCGAAATGACACCCTATTCCCTATATGGTGCACTACTTTTATACTCTCTTAGAAGTAAAGGAGCCTCTAAGAACTTTTTGGGGTTCAAAAGATTGCCACTGTGGGGGAACCTTTTCAGTTCAAAAAGGTTCCTCGAGGTACCCCTCTGAAAAAGGTTCTCTGAGCAACCTCTGTGACATGATGCATATCTTTTCACAAAAGCATCACATATTGACTCTCATACACTGATACTGGGATGCCTGTGTAAAGGTTCAAACAGGAACCGTTTTGTGATGGAGGGGTTACATTTTGAACCTTTTTAATAATATATTGTAGCAGCGGCAGCCTTTCAGAAGATTGCAGGCGTGGCTTATTAGCGTTGTGGCTTTCAGATAGTTATCTTTGGCCACCCGTGAGAGTAAACATTATTCCTGTTCCTCATATTAAGTTTGTACACTACAAATGTGCATTTTACATATTCTAATGTAATATTAATATTACTGATTACATATAGGAATAAAGTGGTATCTATTCAAAAATTAGGATTTGCATAGCCTCTTGAAGAACTCATACAACTCTGTAAGCCTCATTGAATCTACAAAACTGTCAGTGTTCAACCTTAACATGTGATGACAATACAACAGAATGAATGAACAGGAATGACACTTACTCTCACTGTTAGGCAAAAATAACAATCTGAAAGCCACACCCCTACTAAGCCACGCTTCCAGTCTTCTGATCTGACCAGCTGGGTCATATCTTAATAACCCAGCATCAATAACCCAGCATCAACAACCCAACCTGGCTCTTTTTAAAGAAAACAACCCAATTTAGAGACCCTATGCCTGCAACCCAGCAGTTAGGTCATCCAAACAACCAAGCAATGTTGAAGATACTGTATCTAGCTAGCGACCTAAGGCAACGCCTAATAAATATCATCATAAGAAACTTTTTGGAATTAAAACCGGAGGCTTCCCACTGGGCACATACTGGTTGAATCAACGTTGTTTCCAGGGTCATTTCAATAAAATTACGTTGAACCAATGTGGAATAGATGTTGAATTGATGTCTGTGCCCAGTGGGTACAGTCATAATATAATTGTGGCTTGACACCCAATCTTGTATTATTCAACATTGCTATTAAAATAGTACCCATATAACAATAGGTAATTGTTTACAAGTTGCTAGCTATCACATAAAGCCATTGCAGAAAACCACATTTTTTCATCTTCTTCTGAGTCTGGTGCAGGTTGGCATTTATTATCATGAACCTTGCCCTGGAGGCAGCTCTACAGAGTGGTCACTAGCTGGCACAGTCACAAAGTCATAAAATCAGATTTGAAACCTAACCTTAAACGTAACCTTAACTACAATGCTAACCCTAATGTCTAACTCTAACATTAAATTAAGACCAAAAAGCACATTTTTGTTTTTATTAATTATTACGATATACACTACCAGGCAAAAGTTTGGACACACCTACTGAATCAAGGGTTTTTATTTATTTTTACTATTTTTTACATTGTAGAATAATAGTGAAGACATCAAAACTATGAAATAACACATATGGAATCATGTAGTAACCAAAAAAGTGTTAAACAAATCAAAATATATTTTATATTTGAGTTTCTTCAAAGTAGCCACACTTTGCCTTGATGACTGTTTGCACACACTTGGAATTCTCTCAACCAGCTTCATGAGGAATGCTTTTCCAACAGTCTTGAAGGAGTTCCCACATATGCTGAGCACTTGTTGGCTGCTTTCCGTCACTCTGCGGTCCAACTCATTCCAAACAATCTCAATTGGGTTGAGGTCAGGGGATTGTGGAGGCCAGGTCATCTCATGCAATTGGGGGGGGGGGGGGGGGGGGGGGGGTAATTAATTAATTTATATTGACCGATTTCCTTAACTCAGGTAAATCTTAGAAATTGTTGCATGTTGCGTTTATATTTTTGTTCAGTATATACTTTATACCATTGATCCACAGCACATAAACTGAGCTTCCCCTCTCCCCCCTCTCTTTTCCTTCCCGCCCTCCTTTCATCCCTCCCTTCAGGTGATGAGCATCAAAAGTAACCTCAACAGTGTGCCCTCGCAGACTCAGCATGACTTCTCCATCTCGCCCCTCCACGGTAGCCTAGAGTCATCCAACTCCATCTCGGCCAGCTGCAGCCAGCGCTCCTCAGACCAGTCCATCAAGACTGTGGACAGCATGGCCTCCTCCCATTCCTACTACACGCCCACCTACAGCACGAGCAGCTACAGTGTGGACCCCGTCACGACCGGCTACCAGTACAGCCAATACGGACAGAGTGAGTAGTGGGTTACTAGGGGTAAAGACAATGCTTTAGGATACATATCGTTTGAGAGACACCATCTCCTCTTCTGTTCTAGTGCAGGACATGAAGTGCCTGACAGCGTTAGTCTTCTGCCAATATAATGGCTAGGTGTGTATGTGTGTGTGTGTGTGTGTCTGTGTACGTCTCCGTGGGTGCACACCCACCCCATGGAAGAGGCTTGGAGTGTGTGTGTGTGTGTTTGACTGGGATTTATTTAAGACATATAGCCTGGTTGACAGGAATAAAGAGCTTCCCTTTGAAGGGTGTGGAGTTAAATGTCCCCTACCCCCCTGTCCCAGACACAAACAGCACCCTCCCCAGGCTTCATGGTGACTGACAGGTCGGGAGACAACCTCCCCGCCCACAGGTGTGCCTCTCCTACCATTCCACCGCTGCTCCTGACAGCTTCCTTTCTCCACCCTGCTAACAGACTAACTGACACGCTAACAACACGTGTGCTACTTACCGTCAGCCCCTGTCAGCACACCTGACAGTAGTCTGGCACGGTCTACAGTAACACATACGCGAACCAGTGTCAGTCGGTGCCGTATACAATGAGGGAGGACCATTTTTTTAAATGAGCATGGTCTTATTTCTATTACAGCATATTGGATGACTGTCATTCATATTCCATTCACAAACCTCAATGTAACATCGATAGCTTTAGGCTACTACATGATGCTCAAATTTTCCCTATACCCATCATGAGGTTGCTACAACAGGTTGAGAGAAAAATGTGAGTAATCCAGACAGTGACACAGTCAATAGCGTCTTGCACACTCTTGCCTGCATCTAGTTGATCTAGGGTGTAATCATTAGTCCAACAGTTGCAAACGACAGTTTCTATTGGACAAATTCAGGTATGTTTATCCCCATTTCGTTCCATTTGCTTCCGTTTAAAAAACATGTTTCAACAGAATCGGCGGAATGAATACACCCATGATCACTGGAAACACAGTTCACTTTCATAGCAGCCACATACAAACAGCATGATCATTTACTCGTTGTATAATTCCTTCTCACATCTACGCACTCTCCTCCTCTCACCTTTTCCCTTTGCTTGTGGACTTCAGTGCACAATACAACAGCTGTCTGTGACCAGGCGAAAAAACCTTTCCAAGCCAAACCTTGATGCCCTAACTGCTAACCGCTATACACAGCCTACATCGTTGTCACCTAACGGCATAGTCAACATAGCTAGCTACTAGAACTAACGCATTCATAAACCCACTACAATCATGCAGTACAGTGTACAGCAAGAAGTTTAGCAGGCCCCGGTGGCAATAAATTAATCAAACCAAAAACGTACCTAGACTTGGAAAAGTTCCAGTGTTGGATAGCCATAGCCAGCTAGCTAACATAGCATTCCTCTCTGTTTGAGCCGGGTGTTTGAATAGGCTAAACTAGCTAGCTGTATACGCTAGCTAGGTAAGTGAAAGTGAAAAAAATTAAATACTACAAAATATAACTATCTCTCTCACTCTCTCGCTCATCCTTCTACTATTGTCTTTCTCTCTCTTTGAGTCAACTACTCACCACATTTTATGCACTGCAGTGCTAGCTAGCTGTAGCTAATGCTTTTAGTGAAGTGAATACAGTTGAAGTCGGAAGTTTATATACACCATAGCCAAATACATTTAAACTCAGTTTTTCACAATTCCTGACATTTAATCCTAGTAAAAATTCCCAGTCTTAGGTCAGTTAGGACCACCACTTTCTTTTAAGAATGTGAAATGTCAGAATAATAGTAGAGAGAATGACTGATTTATTTCAGCTTTTATTTCTTTCATCACATTCCCAGTGGGTCAGAAGTTTACGTACACTCAATTAGTATTTGGTAGCATTGCCTTTAAATTGTTTAACTTGGGTCAAACATTTCGGGTAGCCTTCCACAAGCTTCCCACAGTATGTTGGGTGAATTTTGGCACATTCCTCCTGACAGAGCTGGTGTAACTGAGTCAGGATTTTTTCCTCCTTGCTCGCACATGCTATTTCAGTTCTGCCCACAAATTTACTATAGGATTGAGGTCAGGGCTTTGTGATGGCCACTCCAATACCCTGACTTTGTTGTCATTAAGCCATTTTGCCACAACTTTGGAAGTATGCTTGGGGTCATTGTCAATTTTGAAGACCCATTTGCGACCAAGCTTTAACTTCCTGACTGATATCTTGAGATGTTGCTTCAATATATCCACATAATTTTCCTTCCTCATGATGCCATCTATTTTGTGAAGTGCACCAGTCCCTCCTGCAGCAAAGCACCCCCACAGCATGATGCTGCCACCCCTGTGCTTCACGGTTGGGATGGGGTTCTTTGGCTTGCAAGCACCCCATTTTTCCACCAAACATAACGATGGTTATTATGGCCAAACAGTTATTTTTTTGATTAATCAGACCAGAAGACATTTCCCCAAAAAGTACGATCTTTGTCCCCATGTGCAGTTGCAAACCGTAGTCTGGCTTTTTTATGGCGGTTTTGGAGCAATGGCTTCTTCCTTGCTGAGCGGCCTTTCAGGTTATGTCGATATAGGACTCGTTTTACTGTGGATATAGATACTTTTGTACCTGTTTCCTCCAGCATCTTCACAAGGTAATTTGCTGTTGTTCTGGGATTGATTTGCACATTTCGCACCAAAGTACGTTCATCTCTAGGAGACAGAACGCGTCTCCTTCCTGAGCGGTATGATGGCTGCGAGGTCCCATGGTGTTTATACTTGCGTACTATTGTTTGTACAGATGAACGTGGTACCTTCAGGCGTTTGGAAATTGCTCCCAAGGATGAACCAGACTTGTGGAGGTCTACAAAAAAATATTCTGAGGTCTTGGCTGATTTCTTTTGATTTTCCCATGATGTCAAGCAAAGAGGCACTGAGTTTGAAGGTAGGCCTTGAAATACATCCACAGGTACACCTCCAATTGACTCAAATTATGTCAATTAGCCTACCAGAAGCTTTAATAAGCCATGACATCATTTTCTGGTATATTCCAAGCTGTTTAAAGGCACAGTCAACTTAGTGTATGTAAACTTCTTACCCACTGGAATTGTGATACAGTGAATTATAAATGAAATAATCTGTCTGTAAACAATTGTTGGAAAAATTACTTCTGTCATGCACAAAGTAGATGTCCTAACCGACTTGCCAAAACTATAGGTTGTTAACAAGAAATGTGTGGAGTGGTTGAAAAACGAGTTTTAATGACTCCAACCTAAGTGTATGTAAACTTCTGACTTCAACTGTATATTTAGTACAGTTGAATCTAAAAAGGATCACTTTTTTATTGTATCACTATTAAACATTTTCTGAAATTCACTGAGAAGGATGGTCCTCCCCTTTCTCCTCTGAGGATCCTCCACTGGTGCGAACACACACACACACACACACACACAAAAACTGTGCATCTCTCCTGTCATACACCCTCCAATTCCTCCTGTTTTTACAAAAGAAGGGGTATCAAAAAGAGCGACAGACACATTTATAAAAAGAAGGTAAGAATTTCCAATAAGTCATAATGCCAGTGTGCTAATATCCACCTTCAGCAGCCTGGCTGTCTGTGCTATGTCGAAGGCTCTATAAACCAGGCTTCGGTTGGCTTCTCTATTCGGCTGTGACACATTTCCTCCAAATATAAGTCATTTGTATTGGACACAATCTCCAAGAGCCACTTGAGGCACGCACATGATAGATGGACAGATGGAGACATGACTGTTTATTTTACTGTTTCCATTGAAAACTCTCCCATGGCAAGAGATTTATGTTTCAGAGAACCTCAAGAATTAAGTTTACTCCATTTTCACCTCTATGCATCCAGAGATACGTTTGTTTGCTCCAGAGTAGGCCAAAGACACATTCAGGAGGCTGTATGTGTTAACCTTCTTAACGTTGCAGATTGAAATGCCATGATATTGCAGAAAAATCAACACAATCTATTTCTACCTGAACGTTTCATAATGGTGTTCCCTATTTGGCCCATCACTTCGAGGTAGGGTTAAATGGAGAGCTTCCTTAAGGCAGCCGCATGCTTCCCAACCGAAACAGTTCGGTACAGTTTGTGCATATATTATGACGTTTTGTTCGTTTTGGAGTTCGGTTAGGATTTTGTCGGCTGTTCGGGCACGCACATTTTTTTCTCAAGGGCCAGCCAAAGTTCGGACGCCGAAGTCTATGCCCCTTCATCCGTGATTGGTGACGTGAGTTTCTGCTTCATGTCTATTCAGCCCGAAACTCCGTGTGGATTCAACATGGCGAACGACAACTTCGAGCATCGATTGACCGAGGATGTACAATACTACCAGTACGATTCTAGCCATGCATTATATAAAGACCAGCAGGTAAATGTCAATTCATGAAGGGAAATTGCAGAGACGCTGGGGTCCAACCACTTGTTTGAAAATGTGGGGTAGGGTTTGCGACAAGTTCGTCAAGGCAAAGAAAATAAATAAGGTCCGCAGTGGAGATGCCAGTGGAAAGGCTACTCCAGAAATGTTGCTGCAGGCTTGTTCGGCATGTGTAGCATGGGAAGACTGAAAGCAACATGCCGTCTTCACCAAAGGATGGGGTATGTTGTATTTTCTATTGTAGTCGACGAAAAGAGTAGCCATGTTTTGCTAACAATAGCTAGCCAGCTAGCGCTAGCTACTTGGCTGGCTAGTGGCTAGCTAGCCTAGCAGCGTACTCGTGCAGGGAAAGCAAGCAAGCAAGCCAACCAACTAAACTAAAGATCTTTACAACTTTTGATCAAACATTATTTTGACATAGAAAGGAAATCATAAGCTTCCCACATTGGTAACACCAAAGTCAAAGTTTGGTAGCCAGGTCCAGCTAGTCAAAATGTTGCAAATGTTTGAGTAGCTAGGCCAGGCAACCACTCTGCTCAAATGTTTGCAACATTATATAGTATGTTGTAGTCTCGGTTAATGATATTTGATGTTCATTAATGTTTTGAATATGTGGCCTAAATATCCCTCTACTTTTTATTTTCAAGGCACAAACACCAGTGAATGGAGACAGCACCTGGTTTTGTTCTCTGCGCTCCAGCACTGCCCCAAGCACTACCTCTGCCCCAAGTACTGACTGGTGATGGGCCCCCAGCCAATCTCCCGCACTGAGTTGCAGTGTAGAATTAGAAACAATCTCCATGCATGACCTGGGAAGATCTATCCTGGGCCCACCTCCAAGACCTACTCCACTGGCTTGCTCCTCACCGATGCCACAGAGCAGCAGCAGTAGTAGCAGGGGTGTGAGAAGGGAGAAAAGTGTTACATGTCTGTTCACAGCAGACGCTGTTGTACTATTGTTCAGAAATATTTATATTCAGAAATATTTGTAACTACACTGACACTTAAATTCTATTCCATAGACACATGTTTACAAGTCTGTTCTCAGCAGACACGTTTGTATTGTGGTTTACTTTCAGAAGCAAGAATAAAGGTTTATTTGTGTGCTGAAAAAGCTCTGTTGGCATTTCTTCATCTTAATATAAGGTGTTTCAATGTATTATATTTGAACATCAAGCGCTGACAACATACAGAAGAGCTGTGTGCCACAGATCTTACAGGCTTTCTACTTGTAGTGTAGTTCAATATAATCTAAATTACTACAAACAGTGCACACAAAGAACTGAGTCTGTGCGTCCAAGAATCATAACCCTTGCAGCCATGATGCCGAATTCAATCTCTGACTCGCCAACGAGTGATGGTAGTTCCAAGTACGCCCAGGTTTATTGAGATGGTCACCTGTGAATGAAAGGTAACAAGATAATTTAATATATATATATACAGTACCAGTCAAATGTTTGGACACACCTGCTCATTCAAGGGTTTTTCTTTATTTTTATTATTTTCAACATTGTAAAATAATAGTGAAGACATCAATACTATGAAATAACACATATGGAATCGTGTAGTAACCAAAAAAGTGTTAAACAAATCAAAATATATTTTATCTTTTAGATTCTTCAAAGTAGCCACCCTTTGCCTTGATGACAGCTTTGCACACTTTTGGCATTCTCTCAACCAGCTTCATGAGGTAGTCACCTGGAATGCTTTTCCAACAGTCTTGAAGGAGTTTCCAAATATGCTCAGCACTGCTGAGTTGGACTCTGCGGTCCAAGTCATCCCAAACCATCTCAATTGGGTTGAGGTTGGGTGATTGTGGAGGCCAGGTCATCTGATGCAGCACTCCATCACTCTCCTTCTTGGTCAAATAGCCCTTACACAGCCTGGAGGTGTGTTTTGGGTCATTGTCCTGTTGAAAAACAAATGATAGTCCCACTAAGCGCAAACCAAATGGGATGGCGTATCGCTGCAGAATGCTGGTTAAGTGTGCCTTGAATTCTAAATAAATCACAGACAGTGTCACCAGCAAAGCACCCCCCCCCACACCATCACACCTCCTCCTCCATGCTTCACGGTGGGAAGCACACATGCAGAGATCATCCATTCACCTACTCTGCATCTCACAAAAACACGGCAGTTGGAACCAAAAATCTCAAATTTGGACTCATCAGACCAAAGGACAGATTTCCACCTGTCTAATGTCCATTGCTCGTGTTTCTTGGCCCAAGCAAGTCTCTTCTTCTTATTGGTGTCCTTTAGTATAGGTTTCTTTGCAGCAATTCGAACACAAAGGCCTGATTCACGCAGTCTCCTCTGAACAGTTGATGTTCAGATGTGTCTATTACTTGAACTCTGTGAAGTTAATTGCCGATTTCTGAGGCTGGTAACTCTAATGAACTTATCCTCTGCACCATTCCTGTGGCGGTCCTCATGAGAGCCAGTTTCATCATAGCGCTTGATGGTTTTTGCGACTGCACTTGAGGAAACTTTCAAAGTTAAGAAAGATAGAAATTCCACAAATTAACTTTTAACAAGGCACACCTGTTAATTGAAATGCATTCCAGGTGACTACCTCATGAAGCTGGTTGAGAGGAGAAAAAAAAGTGTGCAAAGCTGTCATCAAGGCCAAGGGTGGCTACTTTGAAGAATCTCAAATATAACATATATTTTGATTTGTTTAACACTTTCTTGGTTTCAACATGATTCCATATGTGTTGTTTCATAGTTTTGATGTCTTCACTATTATTCTACAATTTAGAAAATAGTAAAAATAAAGAAAAACCCTTGAATTTCCAGGAACCATATTCCAAAAGCCTTGATAAAATGGTACTTCTCATATAGAGGTGCAGAGGTACATACATGTATGCAGTAACTAGGGAAATTAGAAACAGAAAAAGTTAAATTAATTCCAAGATTCTATTATCAACATACCTGGATAAGGGCGCATGAGGTTCTCATGTAGGGGGAAAGCTGCATCTCCCAGGAAAACATGAGGATTTGGCATTATGGTACCTGGCAGGAAGGACAGCTGGTAAATCGATGGTCTTCTGCAGCAGTTTTTACCCAAAATAACTATCTTGAAACACTCCACCACTCTCTCGGCCGTATGCCCCTACATCCACCATTGTGAACCTTTAGCGGGCATCTTCTCTGTCTATGTATGTTGCTTATTATACAGGATGTGTTGCTAGGTACATCAAATCTAGTAGATCCCGGGCAATTTGCACAAATTCAATTTTCTCGCCAGTCAAGTGTCTTCTTCTTTGATGTGGTTTAACGGCGGTTGGTATCCAATAAATGTTGCATATACCGCCACCTACTAGACTGGAGTATAACTCCCTTATACTTTGCTTTAAAAAAGGACAAAAATATAAACAAATACTCTACCATCTAACCCTACACTCATTAAAAACCCACCACCCTACTCCACTATTTAAACCTATCTAGTCCTGCCTCAGGCCACTCAACACAACCTGTAACTTTTCTGACGTCAAATCTCGTACACCCAAATACTTCTCTGCAGCTGCCACCATAACTTCTATTTTCTGCGACTTACATTCTATCCCTGCAGTACAGTTGATAACCATTGCTATGAACGCTAAAAAGCCAATTTTACTGAAGCATATATCACTCGTTGGCCTATCCCTCTGTAATGATACAGATTTACAACTCACACAAATCCTCTCAAGATCCCTCCCTCTTGACCCATCTTCCTCAACTTTCTTCCCTGCCTCAGCATACGACACCCTCTGCTCTACTCTAACCCTGGTAACCTCAACCTGCCTCTGTCGCACCGGACATATCTCAGCCCCAGCCCCATGTGCACCCCTAGAGTTAACACATACCGCTTCTTTCCCCAATGCTATACATTCCTTTGTCTCATGCCCTTCTGCACACTTCTCACACCTAGGAACTTCCCTCCTACACACTGCTGCCACATGCCCATAAGCTTGACACCTGTAACAACGTAATGTATTCGACACATAAGCTCATACGGGATAATTGAAATATCCTATCATCCCTTTGTCGGGCAGAGACTCAACATCAAAACTCAAAAGAACAGACTTCTGTTTCACCACTCACACCACCCTGACTACTTCGCACCAAACAATGAGCATCACAAACACCAGGATTATTTCCCTTCAGTTGGTACACTTTCACATTTACCGCTACCCCAGTAATCACTCCTTTCAATGGCGCCCTTTTCTTGAGAGCAAAACAAGTCACCTCTCTTGTGCCAATTCGTTTGGCGCAAAGCGCCTGCACCCTCTGACCAGCAGAAACACAAACAAGACCACTTCGGGTTACCTTCACCGATTCCACAGCCCCAACTCCTTTTTCACCTGCCCTGAAAACACAAATGGATAAGCCAAAAATGTCACTCCTACCGTCACAGACTCATCTTTATCGTGGCCATCGATGCAAGCCTCAAGCTTTGAGGACTTCACCACACCTGCTACCTTCGATAATTCATCCACATTCACTTCCATTTCTCCTCCAGACCCCGATCCGGCGTACGGCTCACTCTGCTTACACTTTCTACCATTATTTTTCGACAAACCATCTCCCTTTTCTCCGCCATTTTTACCTGACTCAAGCTCACCCTCTTCCTCCATCTCTCTCTTCAACCTCCTCTGCCTCTCTTTACCCCTACATTTCTCCTTTGTATTCCAAGTATGTCTCCTTATTATAATATTGTAATTCTCCTAACATACAGTGAGGGAATTAAGTATTTGATCCCCTGCTGATTTTGTACATTTGCTCACTGACAAAGACATGATCAGTCTATAATTTTAATGGTAGGTTTATCTGAACAGTGAGAGACAGAATAACAACAAAAAAATCCAGAAAAACGCATGTCAAAAATGTTATCAATTGATTTGCATTATAATGAGGGAAATACGTATTTGAACCCTCTGCAAAACATGACTTAGTACTTGGTGGCAAAACCCTTGTTGGCAATCACAGAGGTCAGACGTTTATTGTAGTCGGCCACCAGGTTTACACACATCTCAGGAGGGATTTTGTCCCACTCCTCTTTGCAGATCTTCTCCAAGTCATTAAGGTTTCGAGGCTGACGTTTGGCAACTCGAACCTTCAGCTCCCTCCACAGATTTTCTATGGGATTAAGGTCTGGAGACTGGCTAGGCCACTTCAGGACCTTAATGTGCTTCTTCTTGAGCCACTCCTTTGTTGCCTTGGCCATGTGTTTTGGGTCATTGTCATGCTGGAATACCCATCCACGACCCATTTTCAATGCCCTGGCTGAGGGAAGGAGGTTCTCACCCAAGATTTGACGGTACATTGCCCCGTCCCTCGTCCCTTTGATGCGGTGAAGTTGTCCTGTCCCCTTAGCAGAAAAACACCCCCAAAGCATAATGTTTCCACCTCCATGTTTGACGGTGGGGATGGTGTTCTTGGGGTCATAGGCAGCATTCCTCCTCCTCCAAACACTGCGAGTTGAGTTGATGCCAAAGAGCTCGATTTTGGTCTCATCTGACCACAACACTTTCACCCAGTTCTCCTCTGAATCATTCAGATGTTCATTGGCAAACTTCAATCGAGCCTGTATATGTGCTTTCTTGAGCAGGGGGACCTTGCGGTCGCTGCAGGATTTCAGTCCTTCACGGCGTAGTGTGTTACCAATTGTTTTCTTGGTGACTATGGTCCCAGCTGCCTTGAGATCATTGACAAGATCCTCTCGTGTAGTTCTGGGCTGATTCCTCACCATTCTCATGATCATTGCAACTCCACGAGGTGAGATTTTGCATGGAGCCCCAGGCCGAGGGAGATTGATAGTTATTTTGTGTTTCTTCCATTTGCGAATAATCGCACCAACTGTTGTCACCTTCTCACCAAGCTGCGTGGCGTTGGTCTTGTAGCCCATTCCAGCCTAGGTCTACAATCTTGTCCCTGACATCCTTGGAGAGCTCTTTGGTCTTGGCCATGGTGGAGAGTTTGGAATCTGATTGATTGATTGCTTCTTTGGACAGGTGTCTTATATACAGGTAACAAGCTGAGATTAGGAGCACTCCCTTTAAGAGTGTGCTTCTAATCTCAGCTCGTTACCTGTATAATAGACACCTGGGAGCCAGAAATCTTTCTGATTGAGAGGGGGTCAAATACTTATTTCCCTAATTAAAATGCAAATCAATTTATAACATTTTTGACATGTGTTTTTCTGGATTGTTTTGTTGTTATTCTGTCTCTCTGTCACGATCGTCGAAGGAGGAGGACCAAGGCGCAGCGTTGAATGCAAACATACTTATTTATTCAATGATCACACGAACAAAACAACAAACGATAACGTGACGTCCACGGTCTAACACAAACCACACTGGAACAAGATCCCACAACCACTGTGGGAAAACAGCCTGTCTAAATATGGTTCCCAATCAGAGACAACCAGCAACAGCTGACACTCGTTGCCTCTGATTGGGAACCACTCTGGCCAACATAGAAATACAACTACTAGAAAAACAAATGGAAACTCACACCCTGGCTCAACATACAAGTGTCCCCAGAGCCAGGGCGTGACACTCTCACTGTTCAAATAAACCTACCATTAAAATTATAGACTGATCATTTCTTTGTCAGTGGGCAAACGTACAAAATCAGCAGGGGATCTAATACTTTTTTCCCACACTGTATATCTCGTTCTTGCCTTCTCAAGGGATGCCATTTTTTCTTTATGACACACCCCCTTCTATCTTAAGCTTGCTAGCTAGTGTTCCAGTCAAATCAAATAACATTTTATTTGTCACATGCGCTGAAAACAGGTGTAGACCTTACTGTGAAATGCTTACTTACAAGCCCTTTACCAACAATACATTTTTAAGGAAAATAAAAGTTAAGAAAATATTGACTAAATAAACTACATTAAAAAATGTAAAGAGTAACAATAAAATAACAATAACAAGGCTATATACAGGGGGTACCGGTACCGATTCAATGTCCGCGGGTACAGGTTAGTCGAGGTAATTGAGGTAATATGTACATGTACTGTAGGTAGGGGTAAAGTGACTATGCATAGATAATAAACAGCGAGTAGCAGCAGCGTAAAAAAAAGGGGTGGGGGGGTCAATGCAAATAGTCAAGGACATTTGATTAGCTGTTCATCAGTCTTATGACTTGGGGGTAGAAGCTGTTAAGAAGCCTTTTGCACCTAGACTTGGCGCTCCGGTACCGCTTGCCATGCGGTAGCAGAGAGAACAGTCTATGACTAGGGTGGCTGGAATTTTTGGCAATTTTTAGGCCTTCCTCTGACACTGCCTGGTATAGAGGTCCTGTATGGCAGGAAGCTTGGCCCTGGTTTTGTACTGGGCCGAACGCACTACCCTCTGTAGTGCCTTGCGGTCGGAGGCCAAGCAGTTGCTATACCAGGCAGTGATGCATCCAGTCAGGATGCTCTTGATGGTGCTGCTATAGAACTGTTTGAGGATCCGAGGACCCATGCCAAATCTTTTCAGCCTCCTTAGGGGGAATAGGCTTTGTCCTGCCCTCTTCAAGACTGTCTTGGTGTGTTTGGACCATGATAGTTTGTTGGTGATGTGGACACCAAGTAACTTGAAGCTCTCAACCTGCTCCACTACAGCACTGTCGATGAGAATGGGGGCATGCTCGGCCATCCTTTTCCTGTAGTCCACAATCATCTCCTTTGTCTTGATCACGTTGAGGGAGAGGTTGTTGTCCTGGCACCATACTGCCAGGTCTCTGACCTCCTCCCTATAGGCTGTCTCATCGTTGTCGGTGTCGTTGGCAAACTTAATGATGGTGTTGGAGTCGTGCTTGGCCACACAGTCATGGGTGAACAGGGAGTACAGAAGGGGACTAGGCATGCACCCCTGAGGGGCCCCTGTGTTGTGGATCAGTGTGGCAGATGTGTTGTTACCTACCCTTACCACCTGGGGGCGGCCCGTCAGGAAGTCCAGGATCCAGTTGCAGAGGGAGGTGTTTAATCCCAGGGTCCTTAGTTTAGTGATGAGCTTTGAGGGCACTATGGTGTTGAACGCTGAGCTGTTGTCAATGAACAGCATTCTCACGTAGGTTTTTCTTTTGTCCAGGTGGGAAAGGGCAGTGTGGAGTGCAATTGAGATTGTGTCATCTGTGGATCTGTTGAGGCGGTATGCATATTGGAGTGGGTCTAGTGTTTCTAGGATGATGGTGTTGATGTGAGCCATGACCAGCCTTTCAAAGCACTTCATGGCTGCAGATGTGAGTGCTACAGGTCGGTAGTTATTTAGGCAGGTTATCACACAGTCGTCCGGAACAGCTGATGCTCTCATCATGTTTCAATGTTGCTTGACCTCAAAGAGCCCATAGAAGTCATTTAGCTCATCTGGTAGGCTCGTGTCACTGGGCAGCTCATGGCTGGGCTTCCCTTTGTAGTCCGTAATAGTTTGCAAGCCCTGCCACATCCAACGAGCATTGGAGCCGGTGTAGTAGGATTCAATCTTAGTCCTGTATTGATGCTTTGCCTGTTTGATGGTTCGTCGGAGGGCATAGCGGGAGTTCTTACAAGCGTCCGGGTTACAGTCCCGCTCCTTGAAAGCGGCAACTCTACCCTTTAACTCAGTGCGGATTTTGCCTGTAATCCATGGCTTCTGAGACCACCACCCCTTGTCTTACCGGAGGCAGCTGTTCTGTCTTGCTGATGCACGGAAAACCCAGCCAACTGTATATTATCTATGTCGTCATTCAGCCACATAAGATATTACCGTTTTTAATGTCCCGTTGGTAGGATAGTCTCAAACGGAGCTCATCCAGTTTATTCCCCAATGATTGCATGTTGACCAATAGGACGGATGGTAGAGGCGGGTTACCCACTCGCCGACGAATTCTCACAAGGCACCCGAACATGTGTCCCCTGTATCGCCGTCTCTTCTTCAGGCGAATGACGGGGATTTGGGCCTGGTCCAGTATCAGCAGTAAATCCAACTCATTAAAGAAAAAATCTTAGTCCAGTTCGAGGTGAGTAATCTCTGTTCTGATATCCAGAAGCTCTTTTTGGTCATAAGAGACTGTGGCAGAAACATTATGTACAAAATAAGTTACAAACAACGTGAAAAAACACACAAAATAGCACAATTGGTTAGGAGCCCGTAAAACGGTAGCCATCTCCTCCGGCGCCATATTTTCTGGAGTGTCTCTCTGTGTACACTATTTTATTCTCCCGCACGTGTCTTCCTTGTTTGGGTGTGTCATCACTTCCTTGTTTGGCCGTAGATGGTTATTACCAGCGCATCGCCCTCTACTGTCACGGGGTAATATTGCCGCTTTCCCCCTTTTTTTCCAGTTTTTCAAGTGAACGTCTTTTTAGGGAGCATGCGAGCACACTTGTTCGGTTCGGCCGAACTGAAGCATGCTGACGCCTTTAGTCTTGCCCCAGCCTACCCTCTGCTTGTCCCCCTGACCCCCCGCCCCTGCGGCCCATTGGCTACACCTCTGCCCCAGCCAATCAGCCTCTCCTAATGTCTTTAGCTTGTGTAGCGGAAATTAAAATACTGTGAGGTGTGAGCTAGATCAATACCCAGCCCCTGGGTTGTCACGGCGGGAAGTAGGTCGTTTGGGGTAGGGGGTTGGATTGACCCCATGACTCAGTGTCTGCCCGCAGGTGAGAGCACACACATGCTCTTGATAAAGATCTAGTAATAGTCAGTTAATCTGGTGGTTGACTGGTTGGCTGACTAGGGGCTGGATTAGTTCGTTAGTCACACTGTGGCCATGTGGAACAGGATGTGTGTTTTGAATGGGACAAACACACATCCACACACACAAATGTTTGTTTCTGTAACACACACACACATACACACACATGGGTAGGTAGCAAGGAGTAGAGAAACAAATTGCAAGCGGGGAGCCAGATGAAGCCCCAGGTTACTGTTAAATACATGTGCCAAAAGTATTTGTAAAATCGCTATAAAATACAATTTGTTTGAATGCTTGATTGATTGTAGTCATTCTTTGATATGGTGTCTATTCACCACAGTGAAAAGTATGTGTGTATTTGTCCTGTGCTTCCATCTGCAGCTGCTGTGGACTACCTGGTGAAGAACGTGAGCCTGTCCACCCAGAGAAGAATGAAGCAGGGAGACCACTCAGCCATCCTGGGACTGCTCCATCTCCCCCACACTAGCCCCTTGACCTGTCACCAGCACCTCTCTCTCACGGAAGGGCCACAAGTGTGTGTGTGCAGACATGTTTGTGTGTGTGTGTGGGAGAGCGAGACAGACACTTGTAGTCTCGAAGAGAGAAATGGAATGAAGTTGAAGCAGCCATTCCAGGAGGAGGAGTTGGACGATGCTAGTAGCTGCCGTACCGCTCCCCTGTCTCTTTCCACTGTTCCACCATTCCACAATATTCCACAATTCCTCCCTTCATTCCCAACCAAGAGACCCTTACAGGGCTATGGAGAGCTAGACGGGAATGAGCTCCTACTGTCACGGCACTGAATCGAAAAGGCCTGCCCACCCATCGCTACCAAGTGTTAGCACACGCACAGGCAAACAAGTGTATCTTATCTTTTGTTCCCAAGTCTTTGGACCATGTTGTTTGTTACAGACTTCAGCGTCTGGTGTTATAATTCTATTTGTCATTATAACTGTGGCTGTTCTTATTTCTGTTCGTTTACTTTCTTTTCATTTTGTCGATGATTTCATAGGTGTTCGCTGGTATTATATCAAAAGATGATGTAGATGGGCTTACAGAGAAGGGAGGGGAAAGACAAAGAGAGAGAAAGAGAGGGGAGACGTTGAGACGGTCGGATAGCAGCTTGCTAATGTACGTCTCTCATGTTGTGGATTTGACCTTCCCACTCTAATCTCATGCCCGACATTCCTAAAAGAACTTAAGGGCTATTCTGTCAGACGTCGAGCTCCTCGGAATCATCTGGGAATGAACGGCCAATGAAAAACTCCCAATTCCAACGGCCCGCTTCCCCCGCCTCCCCCAGGCATTGATTGGCCACAGGTACCAGAGGATTGTTTTGAGGGGAGGGAAATGTTTCATGTTCAAGGACATCCACGTGTTTAGCTAAGAATAGGTCAACCATAACTTGCCATTGCCGATTCGAGGTTGTTTGGAGGTCTATTTATGGATAATGGAGGTTTCAGTGTCACACTCTTGATCAAATTATGACCAACATATTTGCATTATTTCTCTCTAAAACAAGAGTGGTGCAACATTCCAAACTCACAAATTACTTGAACTATGAAATACATTTCTAGAACAAAGCACTATTGAAAACATACTTAAATAATACCCCTTAGTAATTTGTGTGTGTAGATCATTAGTTGTTCATTTTACATTATTTTGTTGAAAACCATTCCAAGATATGAACATTTTTATTGAATATTTGTGCCAAACAATATGTTTTCTTAACTGTCTCTCTTATGGTATGCATCCCAGGAAATTACTCTAAGCTCTGAAAAGTTGTAGTATTCACATCAGTCTGATGTAATATGAAATAGCCCCCATTACACAACAATAAAACATAAATATGAAAGCTGTAGAATCTGAGCGTATTGGACTCAACCAACCATATTCTGGTTAAGTAAAACAACAGTGAATATAACATTTGAAATCTGATTGTGTATGGGTTGTTTATATAACAAACATATGTTTTATACTAAAACATAACAACGATGATGAGGATGGTTGAGATGACATTAATGATGGTTGAGTGAATGCCGCATCTCTTGAAGACTTACAATGTACAGTACCAATCAAAAGTTTGGACACACCTACTCATTCAAAGTTTTTATTTTTTTATTATTATTTTCTACATTGTAGAATAATATTGAAGACAACAAAACTATGAAATAACACATATGGAATCATGTAGTAACCAAAAAAGTGTTAAACAAATCACAATATATTTTCTATTTCAGATTCTTCAAAGTTGCCACCCTTTGCCTTGATGACAGCTTTGCACACTCTTGGCATTCTCTAAACCAGCTTCATGAGGTAGTCACCTGGAATGCATTTCAATTAACAGGTGTGCCTTGTTAAAAGTTAATTTGTGGAATTTATTTCCTTCTTAATGTGTTTGAGCCAATCAGTTGTGCTTTGACAAGGTAGGGGTGGTATGCAGAAGATAGCCCTATTTGGTAAAAGACCAAGTCCATTTTATGGCAAGAACAGCTCAAATAAGCAAAGAGAAATGACAGTCCATCATTACTACTTTACGTCAGTCAATACGGAAAATGTCAAGAACTTTGAAAGTTTCTTCAAGTGCAGTTGCAAAAACCATCAAGCACTATGATGAAACTGGCTCTCATGATAACCGCCACATGAAAGGAAGACATTAGACTGATGGAAATCTGTCCTTTGGTCTGATGAGTCCAAATTTGAGATTTTTGGTTCCAACCGCTGTGTCTTTTTGAGACACAGTGTAGGTGAATGGATGATCTCAGCATGTGTGGTTCCCACCATGAAGCATAGAGGAGGAGGTGTGATGGTGTGGGGGTGCTTTGCTGGTGACACTGTCAGTGATTTATTTAAAATTCAAGGCACACTTAACAAGCATGGCTACCACAGCATTCTGCAGTGATACACCATCCCATCTGGTTTGCGCTTAGTAGGACTATAATTTGTTAATCAACAGGACAATGACCCAACACACCTCAAGGCTGTATAAGGGCTATTTTGACCAAGAAGGAGAGTGATGGAGTGCTGCATCAGATGACCTGACCTCCACAATCACCCGACCTCAACCCAATTGAGATGGTTTGGGATGAGTTGGACCACAGAGTGAAGGAAAAGCAGCCAACAAGAGCTCAGCATATGTGGGAACTCCTTCAAGACTGTTGGAAAAGCATTCCAGGTGAAGCTGGTTGAGAGAATGCCAAGAGTGTGCAAAGCTTTCTTCAAGGCAAAGGGCGCCTACTTTGAAGAATCTAAAATATATATTTGTTTAACACTTTTTTGGTTACTACATGATGCCATGTGTGTTATTTCATAGTTTTGATGTCTTCACTATTATTCTACAATGTAGAAAATAGTAAAAAATAAAGAAAACCCCTCGAATGAGTAGGTGTGTCCAAACTTTTAACTGGTACTCTATATTTGTGTTATATTCCTGAATATTTGCACCTTTTGCTATGTTGTATTGATGTTTGTTTATTTAAATACAGATTGTATTTTTATTTTTGCTCTTAAAAGTAATTGATGAAATTATCAATACCACTCAATTCACCCATCATTTTTAATGGACTGAATGAGAAAATATGGATATTATCCACCATACAACAGGTTGGTCTAATCCTGGACACTGATTGGTCAAAACCGCATTCCAACCGGTGTCTGTTCCACAAATTACCACTGGCTAAAGCTATGACGTTGAAATGCCTATTTACTCTATTCCATCTTACTGCGCAATCCACTGTCTCATCAGCCCAGCCAGACAATTTATAAACTTGATCCCCACTGTAAAAATCATCTAGACATTATCTCTCATTTCTTTTAGACTAGCAATTGGTTTTCAATAGCAGAGATGTGTATAAACCTTGCTGTCTGTCTCTGTGACATTTGCAACATTGTTTCAGTATTGAAATTCGATCTCCAGCTGTCCCATAGTAATGAACGTGTAGGGGTCGGGAGTCGGGATGAGACAGACAGGCAGGCAGCTTTTCTCAGCCAGTCGAAATGAATCAGCATCTTTTATGGATTTATACAAAGAAATGTTTGACCTGGGGTACTTATATCACTATGTTTGGCCTTGACCTGCTCCCCTCTGCTCCCCCCTCTACACCAGTTGCCCCCTCAACACACTTTTTGATTCTGGTCCCTGTTTCCCTGTTTTTTTTTAATTGTTTTTTTTCTGTTCAGCACGTGTGTATATTATCATTGGATAATTTATTCTACTGTATGAAGTATTAGAGTAGTGGGAAACTTGTATTGGCATTTACTACCCTCAGCCTGTTGGTGTGTTGACTGTAACACTGGCGTAACTGTTAGCGATTAAAGCTCTAAAACTGGACAAAGACCTTTTCTTTCATTGTCCATTACACTTAATATAGTACCTAAGTACTATACTATACTACTGTATAGTTCATTCAGGATCTGGTTCTCGTTTATTGTGATCAAATAGTGTTGTCCTCTGCTCATCAAATATACTGTTTATTTTCACCATTATAATCAAATCTTTAAACTTAAGCAGTATAGAATAGCAGTTTAATGTAGGCATTTTACATTCAGAGATTCACATTAGCTCATAGGACAAAATACCCGATCATGATATCCCTTTTTTTACTACATTCCAGAAAGATTTGATGTCAAGTGTAGCTTTAAAGTAACAGTGATCAGTGATTTGAGATTCCAACAATGCTGACTTGTACAATCCAGAGTATAATGAACCAGTGCAGCACTACAGTGGGGATTTTCTCAGTGACCTCACAGAGGAGCCACTGCTAGGATGTTTGGCCCTCGGGGCCTTGCCTCAGACCTGACCACAGGGGCTATTTCTTCACAGAATGTCTCGCCTCTTGGGTACAGAGTGGCTGCAGCGGGAGTATTGTGTGTCTGTGTGTGTGTGTGTGTGTGTGTGTGTGTGTGTGTGTGTGTGCGTGTTTGTATTGCATGTCTCTTATTTCTTTCTGTACTATATTGAAAGTGATCACACTCTGTCACTGTCATTTCTGGTCAACCTGTACTTGCTTTGGTAAATTAGGTGGGTCCTGGCGAGTGTGTTTTTTGTGACACTCCTAGGCCAAATGTGTTTGTAGTAACTACATTCTACAAATACCTACAGTATTTGTCTTTGATATTCTAATTGATTAAAGTGAGGAAATTGACTGACACTTGGACCAGAGGAGCGTGTAACCGCCCACGACATCAGATCCCATTAACCTTGAAGGGAACCCTTGGTTAAAATATTCAAATCCAGTCAATAATCTAAAACCTGGCTATGGAGGGAGGCTTTGCATCAGGGGGGTTCAGCTCATTGGTTCTCTTTTCTCTGTGACCTGGCCCTTCCATCTTAACACACTACTGTTCCTCATGAGTCATAATTGGATAGGCATGGCTCTCAGAGCAGCCTGGCTGCATCCAGGACCTTGTTTGGTTCACCACACCCTGGGTATGCTGATTAAACTAGCCACTCAATGCATTCTATTTAATGGAGACATGCCCATAATGCCAAACTGGATCAAGTCACCATAGTTTACTATACTTTATTATCGCAAGGGAAAATGTGTTGCAGTCGGCAAATCTAAGTACTTCAATGAAACATCACGAAAAGGTGATGACCACACAGCCATTGAGTCTCAACATGGCCGACAATCAAATGTAGTCTAAATCTTTTAATGTTACATTACATGTTATGTTATATTCCATGTGGAAATGTAATAGGGGTACAACACATGTAAATGTATACAGTATAAAAAAATTCAATTGTCACTTTGAATTAGAATTATACCAAGATAATTATTGAAAACACTTTTGCAAGGGAGTA